ATATGGGGTAAGGCCGCCCGCCATTTGCACCTTGAATTCTTTCGAGACAACGCTCACCATTTGATTCCTTTATGTAGTATATGACGGTCGATCCGATCCAGGACGAGAGCAGCGCGGTTGTGTGGAGATTAGCGTGCAAGTCGATCGTTGCCCTCCTGGAGGTCAGCGGAAGCTGCATGGCGCGAATGGCGGCAACGGCGCACCAGACGAAGCCGAGCATGGATAGGGGGTGCAGGATGAAAACGGAGATTTGGTTTGCGGGCACCGCGAGGCCAAGGATTGCGAGCGTGAGTGAAGACAGCGCAGGATACAGCATTCCTGCGCCGGGCGATTGCGGCAGAGCTGCGTTGGTGGCAGTGGGGGACGCGGACGAGTCATCAGACCCAGCGTGTGCTTTGCGAGGTACGTTTCTAGGTGGCATCAAAGGTTGGACGCCAAAAGTTTCCAGCTACTTTGGCCATGCTGATCATATCGGTTGCTGTCAGTTGGCACCTCCTCCCTTTCCCTTTATTTTGGACGTGATTTATTGTGAGAGTCTGGTAAAGAGTCATTCGCTTACATGCAATCACAGAAACGCAAAGATTAAAATTCGAGCGGAGTTGACCACTGACGGAATCTAATTGCAATGTCGGGAACAGGGAGAAGTTTTGCCGCTTCGGTTCTCACGCAGCCGATCGAATTCCCAACAAAAGTCGCAAACAACCATCGCATTCAATGACTACTGTGCCTGCAAAGAACGGTTTTGGCTCTGGAGTGTGGCCGTGGGACTACTACGGCGTTGGGCCGAATATCAGCGACCGCGCGAAGCAAGCTTGTGAGTTGCTCGTCCTCCTTGTTTTTGTTGCATCAGAATGCTGTAATTTTTCGATTCTTAGATATCCGACTGGTCGATTTCGTGGAGAATGACTGCATTCCCGCCGAAAAACTCTACGAGGAGCAAATTTCCAAAGAAGATAGATTCAAGGTCAGTCCCCCATGAGAGACGAGTGGCGACCTTGGTGTCTTTGAATTGATTGATTCGTTGTTTGCATTAGGTTGTTCCCCCCATCATCGAGCAGTTAAAGGCGAAAGCACGGTCACTGGGATTGTGGAACATGTTCATGACGGCGGATTACTCCAAAGAATACGGCATCGAAGGCCCTGGCTACACCACTCTTGAGTACGCTATCATGTGTGAAGTTCTTGGGCAGAGCCCCCTTGCACCAGAGGTGAGAGACTCATTCAGTTTATTTTGGGTATCATCACACACGCTCAAAGATGCGTACATACGTCTAGGCTACAAACTGTGCAGCACCAGGTAGGCGGGCCCGCTTGAGTGAATATGGAGTTCCGTTCACCCCTCCCCATTCCTCAACCTTGTTCAGACACTGGCAACATGCACGTTATTGCCCGATTCGGAACACCCGAACAGCGCCAGAAGTGGCTCGTTCCTCTCCTAAACGGCGAAATTCGCTCTTGCTTCGCCATGACGGTGGGCGCATTAGTCCTTTTCACGATCATATCGCGACAAGTCACTCTGACACCGCGTCTCCGTCCGCCGACGACTCTTGTGCCACAGGAACCCGCCGTTGCCAGCTCCGACGCGACAAACATCTCGGCAAGTATCACCAAGGACGGGGACTACTACGTGCTAAACGGACGCAAGTGGTGGTCCAGCGGGTTCGCCGATCCGCGGTGCAAGTGAGTACCAAACCCTCTCCAAACACCGACGTTCGTGTGCTTTAACCTGCACAATAATATAAATTTTGTTTGTCAGGATCCTTGTGTTCGTGGGCAAGTCCGACCCCGGCAACTCGGACAGGCACCGGCGGCAGACGGTGCTGCTTGTTCCCAAAGACACTCCGGGGATAAAGCTGGTTCGCAACCTGACCGTGCTGGGCTACGACGCAGCACCGCACGGGCACTCCGAGGTCGAGTACACCAACGTGCGTGTGCACAAGTCGAACCTTGTGGTGGGTGAGGGACGCGGGTTCGAAGTGCTCCAGGGGCGGTTGGGACCTGGTGAGTAGCGGAGCCGATTGCGGGTGTGCAGTGGGCGGTGGGTGACGTAGCTTGGCGTATTTAANTCCTATATACTAACTACTGTAAAATAATTGGGGGGCCCCACCTTCCCTTTGCCTTCTGACGCTGTGGAAGGGGCGTATGGGGATGTCGGGTGGCGCCCAGGCTCAACCTAGACGCACAAACAAGCTGGTCAAAACTCCAATGGGGGTAAAAGGGGAATACAGCTGTGAAGAATGGAAAGGGTGCTCGCTTCCTTGGGTGCTTTGGTCCACGGAACATGGGACGCCCTTTCAGTCCGTATCAGAATCCAACTTAATTGCGGTGGGGTGGTGTCAATACCGAAACAAACCATCGACGGAATGAAAATTGGAGGCAAAATGGTCATGACCAGAGGAGGGAAACGTCTGAGACTTTTCCCTGGCCCAGCCAGGGACTTTTCCCACGAGGTGCCGAGACTTTTCCCCTGTCAAACGCAGAGTTGGAACGACTTGTTGTAGTTCAACGTTCATGAGAAGAAGATGAATTGCGCAACTACGTAGAATCATTCTTACAGAGTTTAACTCGCTATCTCAATCTCCAGCTTGTCTGTTCTCCGATACGAAGCCTTGACATTCATACTTCGGTCCCAAAACGGAAATACGGGCATCTTAAGTAAACGTGGGGCTTTGAGAAAAGCCGAACCTGTCATTGATACATCCACTCCTTTGCACTTGTATTGGATCCCGGTAGGTGAATTCAAAATATGACGCACCCATTTTCTTTCACGTATGTAAAGTAACTTGAGGGATGGCGAAGAAAATCGTGATATTCGCGATGTTTCAGCTTCATTTGTACATGAAACGAGGTGCTGGTTGACCGCTTGTAAAGTAATCAAGACTGATGCGATGGAAGAAATTTTTGCTTCGATCGCCCCACACACCAAGCACAGGTCAAGACTCACACTTCAGGAAAGATTGTATGGCTCCAATATGCATGGTGGGAGAAGGACAGTCGACGTCATGCTTGCAATCCAAAAACCGTGAATCCTGATTTCACGCATGACCCCAAAGTCCAAGCAACACATTTGTGTTTGCTCTCACCAAAGAAGACCTATTCAGGCACTTTTGCGAGATACCTAACAGACATCCCAAAGAAAACACTTAATTCTGGCCTTCGGCGGACAGGAGAGAAAACTCACACAGGTTCAAGTGTTGAAAGCGTCTTGCCTTCACACTGTTTGCAGTGATGTACCACACTCCGACGGTACTCTCACTCGGGAACCTCTCAAACCCGCTCCCAGCTCTACACAGGCATGGGTGCTCTCGCCAAAACCGGTCCCACATCGTCCCTCGGCGTGCGCCACGACACAGGCGGTATAAACCCGTGCTGCACAAGCCGCCTCCCGGCGACTCATACGTACGATCTCGGTACGGGCAGGGTGCGTGGTGTGGGCGCTCTTGCCGAACTTGCCGTGCAGTTGCGCGTCAGGGGGGGGGAGCGGTCCGGGGGCTGGTGTGGACCCAGGTGCAGGAGCACAAGCAGGCGAGGGCGACGCGCGTCATGGCGGGAGTAGGGAGAGCGACGCCAAATCGCCCCTGGTTCTCGGCTCGGCGCGTACGGCTCCACCTGCAGCCGTAGAACGGTTATGCCTCATTGCGGCTTCGAGCCACTTCCACAACCACGACGCCTCCGCCGCTTGGTCTTCCATCCCGTCAACCTTCCTTAATTCCTTCCCCTCACCCCCACCACTCCCCAGCCGGGCCTTCTCATCCCTCCCCAACACCTCCCTCATCTTCTCGACCGCCTTACTCCTCCTCCCCCCAGTGTCACCACCACGCCCTTCTCCGGATGCTGGAGCACGCTCTCGGCATGCTTGTTGCGGGTCATGTGCGACCACAGGACCGAGCAGTGCGCAGGTGAGCGTTTGAACCGCGGTCCGCCAGCGCGGGTGGTGCCAGGTGGCCGTCGAGGCGGTCAGTCGGTAGAGGTGCGCGAGAAAAGAGAGGCAGGAGTTGCGCGGATGTGGGCGCTGTGCGGCTTGGGGGGCGGCTGGGGCGGGAGGCGGTTCTGGTGGGGGAATGTACCGTCTCTGTACCATGTGTTCCAGGGAATCCTGTTGAGACCCAGCGGTAGCCCCCGCCGCCGGCTGTTGTGCGTAGTACAGAGTGAAGTCTGCAACCCGAACTTTGAAGAATTGGGCTGCAAAAGCTGCTGGGGTGGGCGGATTCCCAATGGAGAACTTGTGGTCTGAATACGGATGTAGTCCTTTAAAGACTGGACCATAGACAGGCATTCGAGCGCCCTTGGAGATATAGATAGTCACAAATTGGTTTGGTCCGTTGAATTGAAGATACGAGTTCATCCAACTCACCTTGAAAGCAAAATCGGCTCCGCCCTTCAAATTTCCGTTGATGCCCATGTGAAGAACGAATATAATAGTGCTAATCTGTTCCCAGCAGAATCGTTTACCTTCAGTCAGCCAGAGCCTGGCGAATCTCTGATTGCGTTGCACTCACCTTCGTGTTTCCACCCACAAACGCTTCCAGTGGGGTTGCTTCCGCATTCTGGGCGTCTTTAACCATCGTTTTGCGCTCCAATCTTCCAGAGGCTGTCCTGCGATGGGTCGTTGCGAACCAGGTGGAAACGGCAAGAACATTTCCCCCAACTCTGAGCAAGCAATCGCGACAAGGACGCGCTCCGGTGACGATCGTTGAGTTCAACCTCCCGAGACATCGTGGGCGCTCTTTTTTCGGTCGTTCAAAATGGTCCTGACCAGACCATTTTGACCATTTTGAATATTGCCCGACCATTTTATTAGTCGGGCCGGGGCATAAGTCTGGTCATGACCATTTTGCCAAACTGGAATGTCCATTTGAAGCAAATGCAGATGCAGCGTGGAGGCGATAGCATGGGAGAGTGTTGAGGGTCGGTCGTTTGAACGATCGGAAGCGAAGCAACTGTGGTTCAAAGAAAGACGCGAATGCAAACGTTGTTGCATAATGTGGTTGCAAAAAGATAGGATCCACTGAGATTCGAACTCAGGTTGCAAGATTCAAAGTCTTAAGTGCTGACCACTGCACCATGGATGGAAACATTATCACAAAAAGTGGTATATATTGTTTGTTGCATTGTGACCGCAGACCGTGTGTATGCCATGATTGTGGAAATAAAGACAAAAAAGAGTCAGAACGAAGTGTTAGCTAGAATCCGAGGAAACTGCCGAGAATCCCCTGTGTGAGTGTCAGCGGGTTGTTTGCACGACCACAAAACGGTTTCCAAAATCTCTTGAGAACAGTGGTGGACAGTTTCCTGCATCCAGTGATAGACTTTAATGAACTATCAAGAGAAAATCCTCATCTTGCCAACCAGACTTCCACATCTGTTTGCACACTGGTCCCATTGAGATTTCATCCAACTCCATCAGAGATTCATGGCGAAGGTCAATTCAACTTGCATTCGCTCTTACTACAGCAGTTCTTTGCGCTCTCAAGCGGAGAAGTCTGAGAGGGAAGAACAGGCAGTGAGGTCAGGTGATGGGTCAACCCTGCGGCCTGCGGCCCATTACCTGTGTGCGAATCGAATTGACAAAATGGAATTCTCGATTATCAATGGAGTGAGGCGTCCCCAAATTAATGGTAAAAGTGCATGTGCCTGATGAAATTCAGGGAGTCAGAGTCTCAGCAGACAGCTGCAGTGGGTGCTTGTCACCCACAACGGGTCCAATTTTGATGTTTTCACTGATTATTGATTGAGCCACAAGTTTCCTGGTAGCTTGAATGAAAATTTTTATTATCAAGCCACGCGTGGAACTTATTGCATTTCCTCACATATTGTATATCTCAATTATTGTTGTTGTACAATATGGGAAATACTGAATGAGTGTTGGGTGCGGAGCGGAGGATGTGTATGAGAAGGATGGAGAGGTGCAGATCATGAAGAGGTTCCATAACAAGAGAGTGCAAGGTCAACAGTGGTGCACAACACTACAACAGCTAACCACAGACCAATGGTATGACAACGTGGCTGAAACCCAGCAGCATTGCATTCATCCATCAAGCTTCTAATTCCTTGCAACTATTGTGACATCCCACCAGATACATAGGCACAGAAATTGACTGTATTAGTGGTGAGGATACAAGATTGAACACACCTCACAAACCAACTCTATTCCAATTCTTATTTCCCAACAAATTTGTAAATACTATCTCTAACCAAATGGGTTGGCGCCTGTTCAGTAGCTGGTGATATGGGTGAGCCCGGTTATGGTTATGGTACATGAGGCTGATCTTGCAAATTTCTGTGTGTCTGAGTGCCCAGATGTCACTGGTCTTCCCAACCCGCTTCGCATTAACTTGGGTTCCCACACCGTTTCTCTTGACCCATTTGCCCCCTTGTTCTCCACATGGCACTGGCAGCATTTTCCCTGGACTGACATCCTTTAGATGACTGGCAGCCTCTACCAACAACTGCACCTGGCCCTTGGGGTTTTCCGCCGCAAGGAGCTTGGGACGGAGCAGAATGGAGATGTCCACAATGGGGTATTTGAGGGTCGAAGGCATCAATCCCAGCAGCAAGGCGGACGGGTGGCCTGTTCCATTCCACAATCAAAGTAAGACGTCAATGACGCTGCTTGGTTGTAGTTGGCCCACCCAGTAGCGTCAGACAATCCCGGTGTCGATGATCCCTGTGGAAATGCCCTGACAAGCAACCTGTAACTCCTGGGGAAGGCTTGCAAGTTCCATCAACCCATTGGGGTAAAGCTCTGCAGCTGTCTTCAAACCAAGATTCGAGAAGGCCCCCTCCGATCTCTGCAAGCACTGGCCAAATGTTGACCATGAAGTCAGGTATATCATGCAGGAATCATGCATGGTACCAGCAAAGAGCTCTGATCTTCTTGTGCCGCTTGCCGATGCAGCCATATCTCTTATTGTTGCTTTTCACCTGGAGCTCGTGGTTGGCTAGGAGCCACTTTTCCTTGCACTCATCCTCCTCACACAAGTACACGCGGGACTGCTTGTTTGCTGATACAAGCCAGAGATACTCTGGGTCCACCATCTCCTTGAGGACATGACCCTGGAATGCTTGCACAGTGGTGTGCTCATGACAAACCTCCCTACAAGCTTTGTCATACGTTTGAGGAGCCCAAGTGGCGTAGTCCAACCCGGCGACATTGGCAACGAGGGCATAAGACTTTCCTCACCCCACTGCCATTGCCCACCACTTCCAAACCGCTCCTCCTGGTACTATCCCAGGCGGGCACAGAAAAGTCCTGGGAGGGTACAATTTGCCATCGATCATGGGAAAGTTGGCAACAGAGGTGAGGAATGGGGCTATCTTCACCTCCCTCTCTGAGGTGTTGGTGTCAGTGCCGGCAACGGTGGGATATCCAAGGTGAGTTGCTTGGGAAGTTGCATGGGGAGCAGGGGTTCTGACGAGACAGGTGTAGAAATACAGGGGGGGGGCTATGGGCTTTGAAGTATCTCTGGACATGGGAGGGGTGGAGGAAATCGAAGTATTACAACTGCCTAAAGGAATTTATTTTGATGAGTTGAAGAAACATTTTCTTTGTGTTAGGGACCAAATTTCAAGTTGAACTCATGCGTTCTGCCACCAGCAGCTCTCAAACTCTGGAACAACTGCATATGTTCCTCAAATGCCACTTTGCATTGGAGGAGTTTGTGATCAATCTCTTGGATGATTGGAAGCTTGTGGAAGTTGGATACCAGCTCCTCGAGATCCACCTGCAACTGTTGGATTTTATCTGAAGAGAGCAGTGCAATTGATAGATGTGTGGTTACAAATTGGAAAGATCAAACATACTATTGTGAGTTTGCATTGATGGACAGGTCAAACAGAATCTCACTGGTTGGCTGTTAGCGCCCCTGTACCAGTTGTTTACAAAGCTACTCATCAGTTCATTTTTGCACCCAGCGAGAGCATGGATCTGCCTTGTACAAGATTGGTGCTGTGAGAGGGTCGTACTTCATTGACCCTGGGTCCAATTGGGGGGATACGATGGTCCAGGAATCCACAGATGGACCCGCTTTACAGACAATAGGTTGGCCTGCCAACTGGTGAATGCCATTCTTGCACTGGAGGCTTTTGTAAGAGGCGCTCAGGTGATTAGACAACGCTGGGTTCACGTTGCTGCCCAGACGTTCATCTTCCACTAGATTGTCAAGGGCAGTGTCTTGCAATGAGCCCATTAACAAATACTGCTGTCACTCCCATGGCAAACGTTATAATGAGGCGTGGCCAGAGCAGTCTCAGTTGTCATAAGGAAACAGAGTGCACGCCACAACCATTTGTAGTCTGTTGTTGGGAACAGGTTGATGAAGGACCCAAAAGCTCTTTTCAGCAAGATCTTATCACAGTTTTGTGGCGCTTGCAAGAGGATGTGGTGGAAGATGCACATGGCAATGTCGCAGTCAATGATGGGGCCACACCCAGACGTCGGCACATAGAATGGCAGGCTGTTCTTGTACCTGTGTACAGTAACGTCCTTGCCAACCTTGATAGTGCAGGTGCGACCACCTTGGACATCCAATGGCTCAGTCAACTGAGCAAATGCAGCAAACCTGTATGGCACGTTGTTGTCTACCCCGAAAACTTTGGCAAAGCCCATAGGGGCTGAGGTAGAGCTCACTAAGTTGATCTTTCATGTGGGAGGCCGTGGACATGTCGTCTGAAGATGCTGCTTGAGATGAGGATTTTCTCTTGATAGTTCATTAAAGTCTATCACTGGATGCAGGAAACTGTCCACCACTGTTCTCAAGAGATTTTGGAAACCGTTTTGTGGTCGTGCAAACAACCCGCTGACACTCACACAGGGGATTCTCGGCAGTTTCCTCGGATTCTAGCTAACACTTCGTTCTGACTCTTTTTTGTCTTTATTTCCACAATCATGGCATACACACGGTCTGCGGTCACAATGCAACAAACAATATATACCACTTTTTGTGATAATGTTTCCATCCATGGTGCAGTGGTCAGCACTTAAGACTTTGAATCTTGCAACCTGAGTTCGAATCTCAGTGGATCCTATCTTTTTGCAACCACATTATGCAACAACGTTTGCATTCGCGTCTTTCTTTGAACCACAGTTGCTTCGCTTCCGATCGTTCAAACGACCGACCCTCAACACTCTCCCATGCTATCGCCTCCACGCTGCATCTGCATTTGCTTCAAATGGACATTCCAGTTTGGCAAAATGGTCATGACCAGACTTATGCCCCGGCCCGACTAATAAAATGGTCGGGCAATATTCAAAATGGTCAAAATGGTCTGGTCAGGACCATTTTGAACGACCGAAAAAAGAGCGCCCACGATGTCTCGGGAGGTTGAACTCAACGATCGTCACCGGAGCGCGTCCTTGTCGCGATTGCTTGCTCAGAGTTGGGGGAAATGTTCTTGCCGTTTCCACCTGGTTCGCAACGACCCATCGCAGGACAGCCTCTGGAAGATTGGAGCGCAAAACGATGGTTAAAGACGCCCAGAATGCGGAAGCAACCCCACTGGAAGCGTTTGTGGGTGGAAACACGAAGGTGAGTGCAACGCAATCAGAGATTCGCCAGGCTCTGGCTGACTGAAGGTAAACGATTCTGCTGGGAACAGATTAGCACTATTATATTCGTTCTTCACATGGGCATCAACGGAAATTTGAAGGGCGGAGCCGATTTTGCTTTCAAGGTGAGTTGGATGAACTCGTATCTTCAATTCAACGGACCAAACCAATTTGTGACTATCTATATCTCCAAGGGCGCTCGAATGCCTGTCTATGGTCCAGTCTTTAAAGGACTACATCCGTATTCAGACCACAAGTTCTCCATTGGGAATCCGCCCACCCCAGCAGCTTTTGCAGCCCAATTCTTCAAAGTTCGGGTTGCAGACTTCACTCTGTACTACGCACAACAGCCGGCGGCGGGGGCTACCGCTGGGTCTCAACAGGATTCCCTGGAACACATGGTACAGAGACGGTACATTCCCCCACCAGAACCGCCTCCCGCCCCAGCCGCCCCCCAAGCCGCACAGCGCCCACATCCGCGCAACTCCTGCCTCTCTTTTCTCGCGCACCTCTACCGACTGACCG